AAATGTGACATAAAATGTCCTGGAAACCATCAGCAACGGTGTGGTGGAAAGTATATTTCTGAAGTAGTGGTGTTTGCATCTTCTGGTCAGTTCATAGCTTGACCACTTTAAAGGGACAGATGCGCCATTTTTTAACCAATAGTCTCAGAAACGGGAATGTTTTAGCTTATTCACAGTTCACAGGTCACCGTCAAAATTTGCATTCAAAGCCATGTTTATCCATAATTATACGCGTTTGAAATATAAAAAGACGGGTCGTTTTTGAAGGAATTAAGCAATTTCGCACATTGCTAGTACTTCTGAAGACTATTTACATATATTCAAGACTCTAATCAACCTCCCTAAAATGGCGCATCTGTTCCTTTAAATGTTTCTCTGCTATCGGATAAATCGATGAAATTGGTTAATTCTTAATTCATGCATGGTTGATATTTGTACCAGATGATTTCTCAAATGTGTGGTTGTCGGACCTTCAGCTTTTCCTACAGGATAAAAGCTCAATATTTCTGTTATTTACAGTGGATAAATTGCTGGCCAAATCCTGTGAAGAACTAGAATTCAATGGAGTGAAAGGTGGTACATTCAAGTTAATATATCCTGATGGTACAACACGAAAACAGTTTTGTAATGGTAGGTGGTCTATTTTATCAACACTGATCATAAATTGGATGAAAAAAAAAACACCTTAAGTTGATTTCCCCAAAAGCATACGAATTGGAAATTTTGATGACCTTTTCGTAACAGGTGACATTCTTTATTTCAGATTCCTCATGTCCACCATCATGGATTACTGTTAATGATCACTGTTACAAGTTTATCTCAGCTGATGATACTGGCGTAAATTCTTGTCCTAGAATGGTTGCGTATGATGCAGTTGTTGATTCTGATGCAGAAATAGAAGACATAAGTTCAGCCATTGAGAATATTGATTTTCTTAAGACAACACAAAAGAATTGGAAAATTGGTTTATTTGATTTCGCGGACAATGGCTTTTATCGTTGGTTTAATGGCAGATATGTGGAAGAACGGTATAGTGCACTTGGTAGGGAGTACAACGGAGAGTGTTTGGGTTTCAACCATGAAAATGCAATCCCTACCGTTGCCCCGGTAGATTGTAAATATGCTGGATTGATCTGTGAAAAGGGATCAGGTGTCTATAATTATTTTTCTTGTTTCATACAAATATTTCTGATAAACAGTATTAATAGGTGAACACTCCGAAAGGAATGGCGAGTTGATAAACTCAGTCTCAAAATGGCATCAGATGTTGCAGTAGAATGTACACGCGTTGCAAAATCTAACGACACCTGTCGTAGTTTAATACTTTTCCTCGCTTCTTGCTTTGGATATGACCCGAACGCAAGTTTTAGATTCATGCTTATGTATTAATTCATTAAGCGTTATTCTGTTTATAGAATATCTTGGTGTCTATGCTATCCCAAATAAAACTGCAGAACTTATAAACGTTGATATGGGTATTATGTTATGTGTTGAGACTTGTCGAGTACGTAATACTAGTTTAGCTCTGATATCCCAGTTGAAGTGTTGGTGTGATGACATCTTACCACCGACTACGGATAAAACTGGTAGAGAATATTGCTATCTTAAAGGACAACCCTGTGGTAGTGAATTCACAGCTGACGTTTATTCTGTCGGTAATATATGTACATATTTTTTGTCATTTTAGTTTTTTCTGGTGCATTTAAATATAAATAGAACCTTTGGGATGTAATTGGAATGGAAAAATTTTTCGATTGATATTTATAAGTAATTAATTATGATCTGTGTCCTTGTAAAGTCAATTATTATTCAAAATTTTATTTTGTAGATGTATACCCTTCCCTTGCATTATCTTGTAACGATTTGTTCAATCAGGGTATATTTTTAAGTGGACTTTATATGATCAATGGGACATCCACTAACTGTCAATTTATTGGTAAGTGAATAAACAATGAATAATGAATAAAGTCTATGCTTTCAAAATATGTATGCCACGCATCTTGTATGAAGACAAATGTGATTCCTGTTTTATGAACTTTTCAAATAAATAATGTTTAATGTCTCAGCGAGGAATTTTGTCATTCAACTGCAGTGTGCTCTTGCATAGCTCTTGACAGATAATATGACACACAGAGGCATGGTATCCGCATGCCCTTTACCAAAACGATATCACAGGCCGATGATTTGAATTTATATAGTGTGTAATGAAGTTGATAGATTTACGAAGTTAACAATTTGGTAAAATTTCAGATAATGATAGTGGTGATGAATATGAAGATTGGGTTTATGTACACGGCAAAAACTTTAGACTAATACATTCCAAAGTAAAACCTAGTCAATATGATGATACATGTAAACTATATGGTGGAGTTCCAGCTACCTTATCCACGTTGGATCAGTATCACACGATGCTGCAACTTATAAAGTGTATGTCCGATTAAGTAATTGCCAAGGAGTTCGTTATTTAAGGGGTTTTGAATTAATATACGACTGTTATTTGTTATAGATAGAGTTTTAATCGTGGAACTCAATAAAAATAAGAAGGTGTGGCTACACTACAACGATTTAACATTGGCGAGTCTCTGATACCGAATGTAAAATGATGTTAACCTAAAAATGCTGATCTCTATAGCTATCACTTGTTGAATAGTATCAATGTGAAGACTTGTACCCTCTTCAACCACAGTCTGTAACACTGGACATCCTGTCCTATGCTGCATGTTGATGCATTAGATCCTTGAACACCTTAGAAATTAAAACATTGGATCTCTTTTATGCTTGAAAGTTTGTCTTTGAATATGCACACATGTGAATTATAAATATCTAAAGTGTATTCCTCACACTTTTTTAATGGAAATTTAAACTGGTTCAAGGTCAGATTTTACAGCAGCCATAACTCGTCAACCTCCTTTCACTCGTTGCGGTGGACTTACAATTAATTTGTCTATTCGTTTACTTTTATAGTGAGTAAATTGGGTTTAAACAAACTGATATTAGTAGGATTAAGAGATCAGTTTGCAAGAGGGCAGTTTTCATGGGCTGACGGCTCTTTGTTTAGACAACTTCCGTGGCTATTTTCTGTTTCAAACACAAAGAGTACATATGCTGCAATTGATATCAACAATGGTTACCTGACAAATTCAATATCTGACAACACCAAATATGCAATGTTATGCATGAAAGAGAAGGGTAAATACTATTTATTTATTGGCACATACAACAAAAATTACAGTAACACACACATATATTCATTACATCTTTCACATTAATCTACTGTTTTTATATTTATATGCTGCCCACGATTGGTGTATATGCAATAAATCTTATCGTAGCTAAATAGTAGCAGTGGCGGAGCCAAAGTGGAAGAGGCGGGGGGTGCAAAAATCTTACAAAAAAAATCTTATAGCTAGTATATCAAGCAATCTCATTTATTTCGCCCCCCCCCCCCCTTCACTTTTGGACGTAAACCTGGCTCCGCCACTGAATAGTAATATAACTATAACTATTACAAGTAGTACACTGGATCCACCGAACTGACGCTGATAAAAAATACATCTAATGGCAGTATTTCACACACAAGTTATCGATGAACTGTCCCACTTTGCCCAAACTGAGCTTCACTAACTGAACTGAGCTATCAACTCGTCATCCCTTTCTGAAAGTCCACCCAGTTAAAATTGTTTATTTGAACATGCGCTACTGATCTAACTTTTCAGATTATATTGGTTGTTTTGGAGAAGAAGAAAGTGTTTTGGATAGCTATATAGTTTTAAGTAATTATAAGTCAATGACAGTTAGTCAGTGTCAACAGTTGTGTTATAAGAAAGATGTTCTAGGAGATGTTTATATATTGGTCAATGTTAATAACTGCTATTGTATATATGATGTTACTGTTATCAATGAACAGTTAACATCCGTTAATTCAACCTTCTGTGATATTCCCTGCCCTGGAAATGATTTACAAAAATGTGGATTTCTTGGTTATGTTAGAGCTTACATTTCAGGTAAGTTTAAGCAGTTCTCTGTCTGTCTACAAAAGTATTTGTCTGATCTTAAAGGGATTGTAATGGGATTTTCTTTAGGTGTATCGGGGGCACTAATAGAATTAATTTCCACTATTTCAATTTTCAAAACTTTTTGGAAAATAGTCAACTTCCATGAGCAAAACACCATTAAAACACTTATGCATTTTTTGTGCGGGATTGCACTGTAATGGCTTTTTCTCATGGAGTTGACTATTTTCCAAAACAAGACTAATTGATTGATTTCCAATAAAAAAGTACATCGGAGTCCTTCGTTCAAAAACACCCACAAAAATAAAGCAGAAGTCTTTCACAAACTTTGTTTACACTATTGCCTGCTGTTCCATTGGAAGCCTTCTCTTTTCTCCACATTGCCCTTGTTTTATTAATATTGACAGAACTTAAAGGGCTAGTGTTAGATACTCTCTCGTAGTTTTTTTTTAGATTTCAGATTATTTAGAGCTTGAGTTGCAATCGCCTGTTACAGCCCATTAACGATACACCTATTAAAATTAATTTCACTCGCTCTTTTATATAAGAGAGATTTTATAGGTTACATGTAGCTATCCCAAGTTGGTTTCGGATAGTCTTTATTGTCAAGCATCATCAGTATGTTGACTAGTGTCTGGTCTAAACGTCACCATACATTGAGGCACATTCTTTTCGGAAATGCTTGTGAAGGGTTAGACGTTAATTGATCAAATTGTCGATAAATATCTCTATTTGTCTGCCGAAAGCTTTAAATATAAAATATTATATCGTATACTGCTTTTACTATTAGTTTTCTGATATCAGATTGAAATAATGACATAAAAAAAACTCTTGCAAAAATTCAAAACATTCAAAATCTTTAACCTGTCAACATGTTCCCAGTATTTCGACTTATTTGGAATTTTCAATTAGCATTCGCCTTGAAATTTTAGATAGAGTTAAAGCTGCTTCTACTTGTCTAGAGTTACATGCTAATGGTGTGATGGTCAAGAACGAATACACGATGCACTTACAGAATGGTACTCTTATTCAGGAACAGTGCTCATTTAGTGGTGAGCTTTAGATTTTAAATTTTTACTTAAATTGCAGTCCAAATCTGTACTGCTGCAGTTTAAAAACATACATGAAGCTTATCGTTGCTATAATTCGACGATGAAAATATTGCTTTCGATTAGATAACATTGCTTTGATTGTGGGAAAAACAGCCAATCAATATTTTTAAATGCATGAATGTTCAATCAAGTTCGATCTGTACATATAGTTCTTTTACCAACAGTTTTATTGAAACAGTTACATTTTTGAACCAGCCGATTTGAAGACCTAAAATCATAAATATTATTGTAGATTTGTAAATATATTTTATTTTGCAGAAAATTCTACTGGATGCGACATTGGGTGGATTCGATTTAACAACACATGCTTTTGGCCGGAGCCTCAATCAAAGTCACATCAAAAAGAAGCATCTAAGATATGTGTATCGAAAAATGGCTACCTTGCTACTGTTAGAGATTCGGATGACATTGCCTTCTTCAGAACATTAATTGAAACTACTCCACCATGGGAAAATCTTACGTTGTGGCATACTGGCATATCTGACGCTTTGATAAATGGAAAATATGTCTTACCAAATGGTCTACATTACAATACAGATGGTTTTGCTTGGCTTGATTCTAAAACTGTGACCAAGAATTGTGGAGCTCTTGATACTTCTTCCGGGTATTTGGAATGGATTGACTGCGAGGAAAGGTTGCCTTTTATTTGTCAGAAAGATGGTATGCACGTTTTCTTGTAAGGATCGGGGGGAGGGAGCTTTTACCAATCAATAGGTATAGTCTAAAGCTTTTCTATAATTATTTCCGTTATATAAATTACTATGAGAGGTCTGACAAAAGTAGAATATACTTAAAGTAGATCAGTAACACAAGGAATTTAAACATGTTGGCAGTAAATATTAACTATCTTCAACGGTGTTATTGATCTACTTAAACTATATTTTCAGAGTACGTGAGATGCGAATTAAATCAACAGTTAGCAACATATGTTACAGGAATAGACAGCAACTTTAATATTCAACAATGTGTAGAGATATGCCGAACAATAAATAATACAGTCCGAATTGGACTACGCGATGAAACGTGTAATTGTTACAACCAAGCTGTCTACTTCAACGATAGAAGGGGAGTATGTGACAAATCCTGTCAAGTATACAGCAACCAACCATGTGGACCAAAAATGAGTGATTCTGAAACTGTCATAGAATTGGGTTTGTATACGTCTTCTAGTAAAAACTGCAATGAATAAACAATAATTTTTACAAGGTTTTAAACACATCTGATCAACAATCTGATTACTGAAGGTTACTGCACAAGAACACGAATGATCGCCAATCTGTGTAAAATCGTATATTGTTGATTTAATTAAATTAACACACAAAATTTCATAACATTTTGACTTACACTGTCACCTCTATTGCGTTCAAAAGACACATTTAACATAATTGTATATCATCAAAATCAGATAAAAACGGAAGTCTCTATTGCCGCGTTTTAACTATAAATAATAACTCAAAACACATTCATAGAATAATTGTCAGATTCAAAGTTGATCACCATGAAGATCACAACAACTTTCATTAAAATCAAATGAAATCTTTATAATAAATCTTGTGAATGTCTCCATGAACAGATTTGACGCGTTTATACGAAGTCGAGGCAATAACCCAAATTCCCTTCATCAAAAAATCGTTAAATTTGCAAATTGACTAAGATCTCATTGTTATATATGACCACACCAAATTTTATTTAAATCGGGTGAAAACTGTAGTCTCTATTGTGTTCACACATAAATTTTACTCAAACTCCGTTTATAACAAATCGTAAACTCGACTCAACATTATAAAACATAACACCAATTTCATTTAAATCGGATCTCATTGGTGCAGATGATAACAGTAGTTTAAGAGCTTAGAGAATGTTCGCACGGGATTCCCCATTCCATTTCATTCCATGGGGGAAGTGCGAACATTCTCTAACTATAGCTTAGTTTCAAAGAACACATCCCTCATTTCATCCGCAGCTAAAGCTATATGTTCTGTCGCGGAAGCAGGAAAGAGTATAAGCGACGCAGTTTCACAATCTGACGAGTTGAAAGAATTATAGCTAATAAGAGAACTACATAACAGGAGATTAGAAGAAAGGAAAGGAAAAGGTTTTAAAGTAATAAGATAAAAATGATAGTCGCTCACCCTCCAAAAACTTATTTCGGTTCAGATATACAAAAATCATCAGGCTCTCTTCCTGGATTTCCATGGGCAAAATATCCTGGAGAAAAACATCTTCCGGGTCATAATTACGCTGGTACAGGTACTAGGCTAGATCTGCGATTAGGCGAGAACGATAAACCCAAACCGTGTGAAGAACCAGTCAATAGAGTTGACGCTGCTACGCTTAAACACGATATTTTATACAGAAATAAAGACATAAAGTTTAGACACGAATCAGACAGACAAATGTTAATCGAACTTGAAAATATTCCAAATCCAACTTTCAAAGAGAGAATGCAAAGGGCTCCGATCATAAAACTGTTAAAAGCAAAGATGAAATTGGGCATGGGATTGGCGGAAGAAATTCATAAAGAATTTAGAAAAAACTAAAAACTTTTTAAAAGTTAAATTATTTGAAAAAGTTGAAATATGGTCTGCTGATTTAATTAATATGCCAGTCGAAAGAGGATATAAATATTGCTTAACAGTTATAGATTTGTATACAAGATATGCTTGGGTTATTCCTTTGAAAAACAAAACAGGATTATCAGTCAAACATGCTTTTGAAACGATCATGAAACATAGAAAACCCCAAAAGTTATGGGTAGATAAAGGAAGCGAATGTTATAATAAAAATATGAAATCACTTGGGTTTGAAATTTACAGTACTCATAACGAGGGAAAAGCTGTAGTAGTAGAAAGATTTAACAGGACGCTTAAATCAAAATTGTTTAAAAAAATCACAGAACTAAAGTCTCAAAGGTTTTACCCACTATTGTATCGGAATATAATAATAGAATTCATTCTTCCATCGGCGTTTCTCCAATGGAAGCTAGTCAAAACCCAGATATTATAAAGTTTTCTTCTACTCTTAATAATTTTGAAAATGAAATAAGTAATTTAAATATTAAACCCAAATTTAAAGTTGGAGATCGAGTTCGTATTTTCAAATATAAAAGTAAATTCGAAATAGGTTACGTTGGATACTGGACGAACGATATATTCATCGTTGATAAAGTAAACACCACATCACCTTCGACATATGAATTAATCGATCAAGACAAAGAACAAATCGTATTCATTTTAAAAATGAATAGCTTTCTCGATAAATATGGAACTGATACAACCACAAATTTTCAACTTATGAGATGGTCGAATGAGTTGAATATATTACCGTTTTATTATTGTATGAGTGATGAAAAAAATGATCTGAAATACAAGAAAGGTAAATTTTATGCTATAACAAATATACATACTTCCGATCAAAAAGGAGTTCATCATTCTGCTTTGTACAAAGACTCTTCAAATAACTTGTATTTCTTCGATTCTTTTGGATTAGAACCCACTGAAGAGATAATGCAATTGACTAATCAACCAATCAAATGTTCAACATCTCAAATTCAAATACCAGGACAAAAGTTTTGTGGGCAACTTTAGTTTAGGAAAACAGTTTGAAGAAATTATAATAAATTTAACTCAATAAAAATGGCGAACTAGTTTGGATTAGGTTTTTACCTTTAGAAACTAAAAACCTAACACTACAGAATGGATAAATAAAGCAAAACCTTAATTTGTGGATCAAATTGGAGACATTTAGATATGAACAATTTCAAAGTAACTAATTTAAAATCTCCGGAAAATGATAATGACGCTGTTCACAAGAAATATTTACGGGAACAAATAAATTCAATTGAAGTAAATAAAAACCATTTAGAAGATAAAGTAATATGAAAAGATTCTTCAAACGTCAATTAAATAATAAAAATTATTATGATACTAAACTACAGCAAGAGGTAGCAGGTTTCATAAGTTTTATTCAAAAACAATTGGTCAACGTAGTGAACAAAACTGAGTTACAAAATTTAATTGCTTAATTAGATGATAAACAAAATTAGATATTCAACAATTAATAGATAATCTTTCATTGGGTGAATTTGATATGATATTGGAAACTGAAACTCCACCATCAACAAGCATTATTAGAAATCCTGAACCATAAAAAGAACAAAGAAAGATTTATGAGTTTTTACGAGCGACAGACTTTGAATATGTTAAACTATATTGTGTTAATGATTCTAATTTCACCTCTGTTGACATTCATAAAAGCCAAATACAACAAAAATTTTCAATACCACTAATAAGAGATGATAATATATATTTGTGTTATGTTGATATATTATTCAGAATTTATAAACCCAAATTTTCAATTCATTTGAACAAGATTAAGGAATCAAAACAAGAAATATCCCTTGTGAGTGTAATTGTCACGATTACACAAAGTTTAAGAGGAGAAAAACAAGCTTTATCAGAAATTCACTTAATTTAATTACCTAAAAAATTGAAAGCAGTAGACAAAACTACATGATAGAAAACCAAACTGAACTAAAAGAAAAACTTAAACACTTCAACAAATGCAGAAAAACATGGATTAGAATTGATTCTGTTTTCAAAACATTAAGCACAGTTCTAACAGTAGGGATAACAATGGCAACAGCCGTGACCGGTGGATTAATGCTTCCAATAATTGTCCCAACTGTATTAGCCAGGTTCACTGCCGTTCAAACTTCATCTTGTGGATTGATTACTTTAGGTTTTACATCAAAATGGAAATCTCATTATAAAAAGAAAACAGAAATTAAATATATATCTTAATAAATTATTTATATTTTTCAAAAATCAAGAGAAGATAAGAACATAACCATTGGAGAATTAGAAGAATTCAATGAAATTTTAGATAAATTTGATGTAGAAATATCATCAATAAAAGTGAAAAATTCCTAGTTAAAAAATAGAATGGATAAAATTGGAAATTTTGACAAAGGATTATCCAAAACACTTTTTCATTAAAATTCAGTTCAATACCCAATTTATTTGCGCGCAAATTTAACAAAGAAGATGAAGAATTCTTTAAAGATAGCTTGCCAGGCAAGGTAATATACGCCCACTAGCAGCCTTGATTTTGAATAAAAATATTTAGCAGTACAGTAACAATCACCAATATGAAATATTCAACCTTCAGTCATACACTTCTTTTGAACTCTTTAGAGCGATACTGATTGAGTATGAGTTATTTCTAGTTCTTGTGAAAACTCTAGAAGGCAAATATTCAATCTTCAGCGAATAATAAACCAAGTTTTGTCAAAATCCAGTTTGAATCATGTCTTTGTGTTTAAATATATAGTTGATAATATGGATGAGGAGAATGAAATTAAAATATCAACCACAAATATGCTTTATTCAAAATTAGTCAAGAGAATAGCTATTCTATTTAATGATTTTAAAATTAAAGGTCAAATTGAAATAAATGGTCGAATATATGAAGGGGGGAATATAAACAAGACATGACATTATCTGGATTCAATGCTCAAACTTTCCAGATTGTTTATTCAAAGATGCTTGATAAATCTAACGCTTCTGATTGGTATTTTACAGGAGAGATTATTTTCCGCAAAAATAATTTTAGAATAGTAAAAAGATCTAAAACTGGCAGAGGTGGAAATCTACTTAGAAAGATAAATGAATACAAAGGCGAAAATTGTTACATACCAAGCGATGGTTATTGTTTTATAAAGTGTGTAAATCACTTCATGAATAAAGACTTAATAAAGGAATTTCAAGATTTCGTCAACAGTTTTCAAAAGCAAAAAGAAAAGGAGTGATGGTAGTTGGAAGCATTAAGCTATTCAACGATCGATTTAAAACAAATTTTCAAATCTATAATCCTAAAGACAGTCATTTTCAACCAAGATATGTAAACATAGACTTATATAGGGTTTTTTACTTACACAAAGAACATTTCTGTTTGATAAGAAGACATAATAAAGCTTTGGGTATTAAAGAAATAGAAGAAAACTATAATGAAAAGGTATGCAGAACCTGCAGAGATGATAATGTAGTATCATGTTTTGCTCAGTTAAAACTAAACTTGATTTCACAACCCCATGATGATACTTTATTCGCTTGGGATTGTGAAACATACTGTAAAGAGGGGGCTAATAAAGCAATTCCTTATTGCTGTACTTTAGTCAATTTGGAAAAACTAAGGAAAAAACTAGATTTAACTAAAAGAGTATTCCCAGATTTAAAGCGAACTGATCCCATTCCAGAAGAATTTTACAGCAAACTCATGACTAATATAGTAGAAATATTTGTAGGAGCAGATTGTTTCGACCAGATGTTGCGTCGATAAAAATAACTATTTACAAAACATGTCTCACTTGTTCATTTCAACATCAAAGCACTATTTTGGCGGCATGGGGTAATTCATCAAATCTACCGATCAATTTAAGAAAAATAATGAATATAGGCATTGCTAAATGCACTGAATATAACTGGGAAGGTATGAATAGGAGCCATATGTTAAAAGCGATACTCTCTGTCTTGGAGTCTGTTTGATAAAATACAATCAAGCAATGAAAGAAACTGTCTTCCAAAATGTTGCAAATAATCTAACAGCTCCGGCGCTATCTTTAAAGGGTTGGTATTATTTGTATCATTACGACACAGAGATGGTTGAAAAAAATGGTATGAAACTACAATAAAGGTTCCAGAACGCACTGAAAAAGAAAACATTGAAAAGATTTATTCACACACTCATCCTTTTATAAGATATTTCATCAGACAATTCATTAAAGGAGGGAGAGTTTCTGCTAACAGAAAATCATTTGAAACGGACAAATGAATGAGATTTGCGCCATATGAAAGGAGTATTTAGAAAGTGACACTGAAGGAATAATAGATTTATTCAAAGAATACAACACAAGTACAAAAGATAAAACAGAAGTTCACGCTAAACTCAAAGAGCTGGACTATTCTAAACTGATGGTATTTGACGCTAACGGGCTGTATGCCTCTGCTATGGCCAAAGGTGAATACCCAGCTGAAAGTGCTAGAGCATTTTTACCTGAGGAAAAAAAAAGAATTTGTTAAGCTATTTAATGAAGAGAAAATTCAGACCTAGAACAGCTATTTGAAAAGTCTGGTTTGAATATCCTACTAACATGTTCTTTCAACCCATACCAGCTAAAGATGAAATAACTTTTACCAATAGAATAGGTAAGAAGGAAACTGGCACTAAAATCAGGTTTGGCAATGGCTTCTGTTCAGGCGTTTTAACATGGGTTGACATTCAAGAAGTAGTTAAAGCTGGTGGTAAAATATTCAGGATATTAGATGGAATAGTCTATGAAGAAATTTTTAAAACTCCACCATATAGAGATATATTTTAATTTTGAAGGATTTAAGGATTAAAAACAAAAAGGAAGGGGATGTGGTTGCTAGTAACTGCATGAAGTTGTTAGGTAATTTCTTATACGGTAAATCTATTCAGAGGGATAGAAATACCACATTGCATTTATGGAATGAAGAAACCTTCCGCCTTAATTACGACAATCACGTCAAGAAGTATGACAAACTAAATGATACTCAATAGATTGTTGAAAAATTGCAGTGAATATAAATGACATCGATATCATTTTCGATATTAGCTTTGTGTGGTGCTAAAGTGGATTGGGTGTATATTTTTTTATCAAAGCCTAGTAAAGTATTTAATGATTTTTCTACATTGAAATCAACTTGACTATTATTTCTCAATATCAACTTTATTTTGTTCAGATTCAAATTACCTTCGAATTCAATACTGTTTCTACCATTTACACTTACTCCATATTCAGATAGGTAATCGTTAATGGCTATGTATTCATAGCTTCCTGGTAGTTAACTTATGGTTTTGAATGTAACTCCATTATCTGTTGATATTTTTATTTGGTTATTATTCTCGTTGATATTTCTAATGGAATTGTAAACAGAGAAATACTTTAATCCAAATTCATATTCTTGATTGTGTTCGAGTTCATACTCATAATCCAGATGTCTGATGTCTGATTTATTTGAGGTGTTAACGAATAGTTGTTCTTTATTTGACATTTTTAATCACGCTTTTATAATCATTTTTATCTATGATACCTTTCTCGAGGAGAAATATACAATTTACTTCATTACATTGTCTGTGTGATCGATTACCTTCCTTCATTGCCGCTAATATTATTTGTAATCTATTAAGTAGTTCCTCGTTGTTGCCGGATAAAAACGCTACACCTTGTCCAGATGCCACCATATCATCCATATCATATTTCTTGTATGATTGAATTGTCTTCATATTCATCATCTGTTTCCTCATCAGCTGTTTCCTCATCTTGATATTCATCACCTGATTCCTCATCTTCATGTTCATCAGCAATAACTTTTTTATATATATAGATCAACTGCTTTCGATCTTCTTGTTTCGGGTCCTGACTTTCTAATTGCATGAAGAAAGTTTGAGTATGCTACTAAATCTTTGCGATTGGCAATGTGAATATACCCACCATTCATTAAATCTATTGATCCTTTTGTTAATGTAAATATTAAGTCTTTTGTATCGATTTTGAATATAGGGGAATTTGACTTAAATTTAATTCTAAATCCATTAAAAAATAACCCCTCATCATCAATGATTGGTGAAATACTCTTTGGTAAATCTGGTCTAGGGTTTGAAAAAGATGAGTTATATCATCTAATGTCCTAATTATAATACCACTATATTCATTCGGTTCGGGGTGATCTTTATGAGGTTCTATACGAGGCGAGGTTTTATATTTTAAAGCTAATTTCTTTTTAATATCCTCTTGAGTTTTTAATATTGGTTGAAATAGAGTTTGTAAATTTTCTGTTGATACAAGTTGTTATAATTTGTTATTTTCAACTTGGGTCTTTATTTTATTCTTAGCTTTGATATATTCTTTATTTCTTTTAAAAATATTATTCTAATCGCATCTCATTTTTAAAAAAATAAAATTAACATATGTCGATCATAACTCTTTCACCTGCAGGTTTTCTAGTATTTACAAATATATATTCGTGATCATCTGGGTTTCTCCATTGAGCTTTAGAAACCTTTTTAAATGTATCTCTGCCCATTCTGTGATTTATAGACTGCATGATTTGAGATAAATCTTTTTCGTTTAATTCGAATAATAAAAAACAATTTGCATTTTTTCTAATAAACATAGAATCCATCCCGTAAAAAGATTGGGATTGGTATATGCAGTGGCAGTTATTCTTGTTGAACAGCTTGATTTGTTTGTTCTACACAGTCATCAAACAATATTAAGTTCTTTCGATTGCTATCAATTTTAGACAAATCTAAATCATTTTTCGTAAGAAAATCTTTAATGTCCGTTGGATTGAAAGATGAATTCTTTGCTTTAATGAAGTTCTCTATGATATCTTTTATTTCCACTTCTTCTTCGTGCTCTTCATAATATTGAAATATGTCTTGAACATCTTTCTTTGGTAAATATTCTAATGCTTTGAGGAATTGATAATATGATTGCTCTGGTGTTGTTGTGTAGATATAGAGAGAATCGAAATCTAAAAGGTTTGGTGTTGTTAACATGTTAAAAGTGAGATGAGTTTTCCTAGAACTACCGCATATACACATAAGCATTGGGTTAGTAGGAAATATTTCTGAATGTTTGAATTTCTTTCCCATTTTTTATTCTATATTTTTGTTCCGAAAATCACTCCTTCTCCTTTATACTTTAAAAGAAATAATCCTTCTCCAGTGTATGTTTTTTAAAAATATTCCATTACCCTTATGTTTGACTTTCATTTCCCGTGTCGATTTTGTCTATGATACTGTTTAATCCTTGTTAAACAGTTTTCTTGGTGTCTTCCCCAAATCGTTTTCCAAATTATTTTACTGTACCTAACATATCTGCCACTCCTGAACCTTTTTTTGCATTAGCCAATTTATGTGCTTCCTTTTCCATTACTAAATTATGTCTACGTTCTCGGCAGCTGTTACTGCAGCTGCTTTATCTTCGTTGACAGTTTTTACTCCAGCAGTTGTACCACCAGCTATTGCATCCGCCGCGGTAAGACCAGCAAATATCAAAGGTAGGAAAGGTAAAAATCCACCTTCTTTTGCGTTCGTGTCAACTCTCTTTAAGTCTATATCGTCTCTGACTTTACAATATTTGTATTTATCAAAAAGTTTTTTAGTTATGTTACATCTCCTTGTGTTTTTTCAATATGAATACTTATGTTCACTCCTGTTTTGAAAAGATCTTCTTAGTGAGCTGATAGATCAAAACAGAAGATTGGATGATTAAGTGCAAAATCTACATATTCAAACTGAGGGGGATTTCCAAATAATTCGCACATATTTTTATATTTTCTACACAATTCATTATAATCCTTTGTGGTTGGATTAATTGTTAAAGGTTGGTTAGGATAATTATCGTTGTTTAATCTCACTTGAACTTTATAGGATCTTGAGTTAGGTTCATTGCTACTCTAAAGATATTATTGTTATTCGTATGTAAGTATGGCAAGTTCTTGAAACCAACCATTAAATATCTTGCTGTTTTAATAGTATTGGTGATTGGCCAAGTAGTGGATTCTCCAGTTAAAGTAATGCTACCTACCGTATTGCGACGAAGAAAAGCTATTTCAATATCTTTAGTTAATGAGTTGAATATTCTCGTTTCTACTTCAATTGATGGTGTTATTAGGGGTAGGTAAAGTTGGAGATTCGTTATTTCTAATTTTGCATCTGAAGCATTCTCTCCAAAGAATATCTTATTATCATTGATTTCTCTTTGTAGATGAAATTTATATGGTAATCCTATGGAAACCTTTCTGTGTTCCAACAGACCGAATAATGGATATAATTTCAAATTTACGTAATTTCCCCACCTATTATTATTCTCAACAACATTGTTATACTGATTTACTCGTTTTTCGAATACATGATTAGCTGCTCGTGCTACTCTTTCCAATTATGTTTCGAGCAACAACTCTCACTCTAGCTAAATCCGCATCATTTGCAACATTTCTTATCGGTTCTTTTAAAACACTTCCATTGCCAACATCGGGTATCCAGCCTGAGACTGAGTCGGAATTTTTGGGATAAAGAACCGTTTTCAACATTCTGTCAAATTCCCCAGGGTGTTTAATGGTTTCTATAGGATTTAAACCAGCTTCCAAAATTCATCTCGCTAAATAAAGATGGAAAGACATTGTTTTCTAACGTTGTATTAGTTTGTGGTACACGATTTTCATAGAGAATGTTCGCACTTTCCCCATGGAATGAAATGGAATGGGGAATCCCGTGCGAACATTCTCTAAGCTCTTCAACTACTGATAACACCAAAATTTCAGTAAAACCAGATGAAAAAAACTGTAGTCTCTATACAATATTCTGACTTTTGCCACCTCACTTTTTAAAGGTTTTGTAATTATGGTTATCTATACATATAGGTTTACACCGAAATATGGTGAATATAGATTGAGTATCTACTGATATTCCTAAGATTATTCCAATATTTTTCAGGAATATATGATGATATAAGCTATGCATCTTGTGATGAACTTCTTATGTATGGAATAAATTATCCCCATCTTTATTTTTTGACAATTAATGGAACTAGGTTTGACACAATTTGCTTTGATAAAGGTAAGAACGTTGTATTTTTGCATAAACTATGTATTTTATTAATTTTACAATGACTTTTTATTATTTACATTCACTATAATTATTATAATATTATTTTAATGATTCAATAACACCCCTATGATTAAGTTTAGACGAAAGAAAAGTGAGATACCAATTTTATTAATCTTAAATCCAAAATAAAATAAATAATATATTAAATATATATATCAATTAAGAAAAAAAAATATTATGGAACATCAAAATTATATTACTTAGTATGAGCTTGAATATATTAACATCGCTTTGATATTGATATGATTTAGGTGTTCATTTTATCCCTCTGCTTGGAATGAATAACGGATCACTGAATGCTTCAACTGAAAGATCATTGGAGAGAAGTACAAATGAAGCCAGGTTAGTATCCTTCCCAATTAGCCCGACATGCCATGATCGTTCCTCGCGCGTGATAAACATCACGGTAAGGACCAGACTCGTAAGGTAACATTTTACTGAAGTTGCCCCGAACCAAATTTTGTATCACTTGTTTGGAGAATTTTTGTTATGAACAAAACCAAATTTTGCAAACCTATCGGTATCGACACAAAGCTGAACCATTATTGAATCCATCAAGATATTTCCGGATATTCCGCAATATCCCTGTGCTCAACAGGGTACCACAATGCAGTCGACTCATATCAGTAGGGTGCTAGATAAAACTGATTTTGGGCTTATCAAAGACCTCATTTTCAAGAGAATGCCACTTGCAATACAAAAAAGGTATATCTTAAAGTTTCACCAGCTTACAGAAACAGATTTGATCAAATGTTTATAAGTATAATAATTATCTGTAACACATGTCACTATAATAAACAATTTCTTCTTCTATAAATATTTCAATGTGGTTGGGACTGAAAAACATTGTGGATTTCAAACATGTCAGTACAGCTCTTTGTTCAATAGATTTTATAGATTAAACAAACAGTCTGCTTGGAGACCCAAATCTACAGATACAATTCCTTGGATTACAGCTACATTTTCCTCAGAATGTTTATTGAGTGCTGTTTCAGTCAAGGGTGAGTTCAAGAACTTCATATTAGTACATATGTTGCGTTCCAGTTTAAGTAGTTGCTAGTTCTAGAAATTGCATGTTATGTTGTTAAAGAACAACAATGATATACAGGTACAATGTCATCTGTATAATTCGACACCCAATGGAACCGTAAAAATATGTTGGACTATGTAGAGTGTTTGTTGAGTACATGTACCAAATTCCGTTAGCAAAGCATGTACACTAATTGCTTTTAAATCACAACCTTTTCCGCCTGTACTAAACAATTTCATAAAGTTGAAAATTCTTTTATTTTATTGTAATTATTATTTGTATTTTGTTATAACATTGTTTGTATATGTATTTTGTATCATTTTCTAATTACATGTAAAGCACTGAGATAGGGAGTGCGTTTTAAAGCAATATATGGGCTTAATATAATTATATCTTTTCATATTTTAGCCCTGTTCCTTGTAGATAATTGTATCACAGCTTCCTATTTTAATTGTCTAAAGGTAGAGAGTGACAAACATGTGACAATATGGTCATTCTACTGAATAAACAATAAATACTTTTTGTACAGAAACTAGGTTGTGAAACTGATCGATTCACACATTTGTCATCCAATTCTATGATGCATAGTTAAACCAAGCTCCAGTACAATACATCAACGTTTCTGATTTCTACAGGTTTTGTGGGAACTAAAAGTTACTGGTGTCCACTGTTGGATATTGGATATGATGATATTTTGAGCACTAAAAAACCTTCCCCATATATATCACTTGGTCAGGTATGTTTCGCCCAGATTTTTGCTTTTCAGTACATGCTCAATTTTATAGAAATTACACTTTGTTAACAATAATCTACAATTTTGTTAAAATGCATTGATTTAAGATGAGTAATGGAAACTGAAAATTAATTCAAGAACGTAGTCGAAGGTTTCCGGACTTGATTATGAAAAATCAAACAACAAACATTTCCATAAATAACTATTAAAAAGACACGAAATACTTACTTACTTTCACTTCATATTCAGTTTTCATAATTAATGTAGTCCACTGTCGCTCTTGGTCACGATCAAAATTATTTTAATATGTGTGCTCAAAGTTGCATTTAACTGTGTTCGCACAAAAACTCTGAATGTATTATATATCTTTTTTTCAGTTTCTCGGAAATAATGATAGTTCTACTGTGGTAACCCATTATTTCAATCCACCCTTGGTTGCAAAGAGTTTACATATAGGTGTGAAGAATTCTGAACATGATCCCGATGATTTTGGGCTCCGTTTCGAAATTTATGGTGAATCATATGGTTCTTTTGTTCGTAAGTAATGTTTCATACCAATTTTTGAAATAAATTATTTCATCGCAGAATTTTCATGTATGTCTTAATGTGGGATTTATTATGGCCAATATTTCCAGTCGGTCTGTCTTTTGAAAATCAGATAAATTATTACAGATTCAGATAGATACATAGGTTGTTATGGTGTAGTTGAAAACTATGTGCTAGATAACCACATGGTCAATGCCGACAACTGTAGAGAAGATTGCTCTGGTAACCCATTTTATGGCATCGGTAAGTTGTCTACTTGGTATTTCTCTGTACATGGTGCAAACGTATTGGTGTTATTCAAATAACCCATACAGTTATGCCATTCATTCCATACATCATCCGTATGTATTTAGAGAAATGTGGGTGAATCCTGGTCATATTAAGTCCTCAACTAATTTCTAAATCAAGTTAAATGACATTTTTTAAAAATCATTTTGATGAAGGAAAGATGTGGTCATGCAAAAAATTTTCTAATGACTATTTAATAGTAAAAAGCTTAAACAAACTTTTTATGGGACTCTCGCTTTCGCAAAGTCCATGTTTGTTATCAAATTGTCAATTTTTTTTTCTCCATTTTTGTCACCTTTTCAAGCAAAGGCTGCAACAGCTGCAGCAACATATCTACATTTGTGGACCTTCTGTGGTGACAACGTTGTTAATGAATATAAATTGGAACATTTTTGCAAAATCGGAAGTGCAAAAAGTAGAAAATCGGCTTTAGAAGTCGCATTTTTGGGTCTTTTTTCGAATCTACGTGTAATATCCGATATGATAGCACCAAAAATTACGATAATGTCGCAGACATTTTTCGATCGAATTTTGCTATTTTTGAGGCAAAAAAGGACCTTTTTGTTTTAGTCCGATATTTTTGAAATTTCAGATGCAAAGACTAAAGTACACAATATGATACAGTCAAACATGTGAATTCACTTGCGGTTCAAACGGGAATTTGACTTTCACTTCCGGTTCAACTACTTCCGGTGTA